GCTGATCTCCTGCAATTGAGACTGCTTCCCCCTGTTCTCTGTAGGCACCTTGTAATCCTCTGCCTCAGTCTTCCCATCTGCAGAAGGGGAAACCAGCAGGAGTTTTTGGCTGTTGAATCTGTGAGTCACTCTGAAGATACAAGGGGCAAGACAGAGGAGAGGAAGAAAAGGCAGGAAACCAATGGGTGATACATATGCCGATAAAGACACAGGTTGCAACAAGCAAGAACAACAGTGATGTTGCTGCAAGAACCTGTTCCCTGTTTCCTTCCTCAAGGAGAATCGGGGTGATGAGAATTATTAGCAGCTGCTGGATGGGCAAGAGACTGTAGCACTAATCTCTGCAAATGGGCAGCTTGGAAGCTGCTGAATTTAGCACTGATACTGAAGATCTCCCTATGCAAACTGTTCTCCAAGTGATGCTGGGGAGCGGTGCAGGGAGGGAACAGAGCCAACATCTATTTCTGCCTGGCAAGGCAAACAAGCAAACACACACACCGAGATCACTGTGATTCTCAGAGAGTATTAGCAAAGGACAAAACTTGCATAACTGCCATATATTATAAAAGCCTCCCTCAATCTTGGTTAATTCTCTTGTAAAAAGGGAGGGAAAAATCTGGAGCAGCTCAGCATGAAAACAATTGTGGGAGGGATAATGAAGAGACAGCACCGAGGTATCTGGTTCTAGCCCTGATATCATTAAGTAAGTGCACTGGAAATGTCGAGGTAAATGCATAGCAGTGAATCACAGTCAGGCATGATTAACCTTGGGTAGTCTGAACTGGAAATCATTTACAAACACAAAGGTACTGAAGAACATCACAGCAGACAGTACATCGAAAGTCATCCCAAGAACGAGAGTCTTGCTGAGTGCTTTGTGCAGTTGTGCCATTTTTTTAATTAGTCTCATATTTTGCACATTGGAGGATGGAAGATCTCAGACCCTTGGCTCAGAGAGGAGTTTCTATGGCACCTTAAGGTCCTCTGAAACACAGACACTGGATAGAATCACTTCTCCTTGCACAGAGGTTTTATGAAATTCAAGTTTTAATGGTAGCTTTCCAAGGTTTACTGAAAGGATCAAATCTATTTTTTTTCCCCCTAAAGAAAGATTAAAATCCTGTACGTGAAAATATAAAATAACAAAATAGCACTCTTTTCCCATTCCTTTTGATCTCCTTAACTCAGCCCTTCAGACCTTAACTGGTAAAACTGGGGGTGTGGGTGTAAGGTTTTTAATAAAAACTAGACATTTTTAACAAAATCTGTGAAAGTTTTCTGACCATGGAACTTTGAACCTCCAATAATCCAAAAGAACAAAACATTTCCAGATAATTCTGAAGAACCCTAAAAGTTTAGAAATGCACAGTGAAGCTGTAACCAGATGACCCATAGAGAGCTATATATATTAAGAGTACAACAACAAAAAACCCCTTTCAAATCAAGAATTCTTGTGGCTTTAAAAGCATTGAATTACAAGGAACATGAATCAACTGGGGAAGACTCCAGACAGCTTAACACCTTGGTATTGTTTGCAGCTTTTATTGCAATTCTTCAGTGCCAGTTCAGGTGATTATTGTGCATGCCAAGGAAGTGAAAGCCACAGGAATATCATGCAAAAGTGTACAGCTCTGCTCTGGCTTCCTCCCTGCTTTCACATCATTCTCATTCTCCTGCATCTATCTCAGTTATTTCTAGCATTATAATAACTGCTTTTATTTATCTGCCTCATTAGGATGTTGCATCAATTAGTGTGCATCATCTAACGCATACCAGTTTCTTAATGTTTAATATTATTATCAGTGGAGAGCTATGTCATACTGAGTCTATCTAGAGAGTCAATGCATACAGGAAAAAAACCAACCCTATGCATAATGCTATCCCGAATACGGTACTCAGACGCCTCCGAACAAACCACAGTGCATCCTGCACTTCAGGTTTCTATACTCTCAGAGGTTACAGGTAGCACCTTTGACTCCAAGGCTCCAGATCACAGGGTAATGCCTGTTTTTGAGGATCAGGAACCCAGTGGACAAGGCAGGGGGAATATCTTGAGGGGAGACTTCACGTAAAAGCTTGATTCACAAGTGCCTCGCTGCCTGATTCAGGAGGGTAATCAACCTGTCCTTTGAAGCTGCATAAATAATGTTTGGATGGAGGTAGTAAATCTGCACCAAGGATGAATTAACTGCCATTGAGTCATATAAGCTTGGCTTGAGTGTGTGGCTTGTAACATGCCTGAGTAAAATAAAAAAGACATTTGCAAGAAAGAAACATTAATTTGCTTCTCCTCATCTTTTCTGTTATTTTATCTACTCCAACATGACTTGCTCTGTGGGGTTTTTTGCTGCTGTTTGTTCCATTTTCACAAGAAAACACCAATTCACAATGAAAGAAATTCACAGTGAATACAGCTTTCCACAGGTTCTCCCAGTCAGGCCCAAAAAGATCACCTCTCCTACATCAGTGTTGCTTCTTTTTAACACCTCTACCAGGACATGCCAACAACTGGACACCTCAAACACTCTCTGGGCAGCTGTGGAAATGCATGGTCTTCCACATGTATGTAGGGA